TTTGTGAGATTTTGTTATTGTATGTATGTATGTAGGTATGTATGTATGTATGTATGTATGTATGTAGGTCTGTATGTATGTATGTATGTCTGTCTTATGTCTGTCTGTCGTCTGTCTGTCTGTCTGTATGTCTGTCTTCTGTCTGTCTGTCTGTCTGTATTTCTGTCTGTCTTCTGTCTGTCTGTCTGTCTGTCTGTCTGTCTGTCTGTCTGTCTGTCTTCTGTCTGTCTGTCTGTATGCTCTGTCCTGTCTGTCTGTCTGTCTTCTGTCTGTCTCTGTCTGTCTGTCTGTATGTCTGTCTGTCTGTCTGTCTGTCGTCTGTCTGTCTGTCTGTCTGTATGTCTGTCTGTCGTCTGATCTTCCTGTCTGTCTGTCTGTCTGTCTGTCTGTCTGCCTGTCTGTCTGTCTGTCTGTCTGTCTGTCTGTCTGTCCGTCTTGTTCGCCCTCCGCCCTTTTTTTTGGCCTTGTTACAAGTGCTCTCTTTTCTCTTTTTTTTTTTATAATTGATATAATAATATTATGTGTCTACATTATAATAACAACAACAAAATTGTAATTCCATTTCGATGTGAGTTACAAGAAAATAATAACTGAATTAACTCAATAAATAGCTGTTCGAAACTTAAGCAACTTTTTGATCTTCTTATGCAAATCTTTGGTGCCTTTGAGTTCCAAACACCTTTATGGAATAGATTAGTTACTAGTGTAGTTCGTAATGAAACCCAATCGGATTTTAAGCTATTCGCCCCTGCAATGTTTTCCAAAACGGCGAGTTCCGAAACAGCACTTCAAAACGCCGAACAGCATCTCTAAGGGATTTGAGTCAGGAAATTTTGATGAGCAATCAAAGAGTTTGGGTCCTATTACCCGATAACAACTCTTAGATCAACTTTGCCAAAGGTTTTGGTTCATTATCATGCTGAAAATCGCAATAAAGTAAGTTGATCTGTTCGATGTACTCAATCATATGATTCATTTTGTTGGCGAAAAACGTCCCAAAAGGAAAAACAATCCAACTTTGTTTGTGTTTCAACATCAGGACTAACTCTTCTCTTTAAAAAACATAGCCACACCCTAAAATTTTGCTCTCCATTCATTATTGGGCCTTTACTAAAAGGGTATATTGTAATATTTCCTTCAGCCTCTGAGCCTCGCATACTCTGTTTGAATTTAAGACGGAAAATGTGGACCCGTTTGTAAATAAAACTGTTTTTATTAGTCTTGCGTAATCTATTTCAATATTCTACCCAAAATTGTACAAAATTTTTGAAAAAATCGAATTTCTTTAAGTAAACTCTGTGCCATGTCACTGCGGGATTCATATGCGGTTACATCATCGTACATTAAAGACTTAAAAAAGCAAGGAGGTCACACAATTAAGGTTATGGGCAAGATTTTTAGTGAGTAGAGTAAGTCCTGATGTTGAAATACAAATAAAATTGGGTTGTTTTACTTTCTGGGACATTTTTGGCCAACAAAATAAACCAAAGGATTAAGTACATTGAACAGAACAAATTACTTTGTTGCGATTTTCAGCATGATAATGAACCAAATCCTTTAGCAAAGTTGATCTAAGAGTAGTTATCGTATAATGGGACCCAAATTCTTTGATTGTCCATCAAAATCTCCTGACTCAAGCCCTTTAGAGATGCTGTTCGGCATTCTGAAGCGCTGGGTCGAAACTCGCAGTTTTAGAAAACATTACAGCTGGCGAATGGCTTAAAATCCGATTGGGATTCATTACGAACTACACTAGTAACTAATCTATTCCATAAATGTGTTTGGAACTCAAAAGGATCAAAGATTTTCATATGAAGATCAAAAAGTTGCTTCAGTTTCGAACAGCTATTTATGGAGTTAATTCAGTTATTATTTTCTTAAAACTCACAGCGAAATGGAATTAAACTTTTGTTGTTGTTATTATAATGTAGACACATAATATTATTATTATCAATTATATAATTTTGAATAAATCAATTAAAATATAAAATATAGCACTTTGTATACAATGCCAAAAAAAGTTGCTTAGGTTTCGAACAATACTGTACATATCGTCATCTGAAACGAACTAACCAAAAATTCAAAATCGAATTTATTGTTGGTTTTAATGTATTGCATCAAAAAAAATGTCCACGCAAAAATTTGGACTCCTCCGACTAAAATTAGGGATTTAATTGACAAAAAACAAAAGGCCCTATCTACAAAATCTTTTAAATATTAATGGTAAAAAGTCCAAATTATCCATTTTTATATACGGCATTGTCAACTTACTAACTGATAGATTTCACTATTAAAAAAATTTCTTTATTTACTACAAATAAATCTTGTTAATAGAAACAAACTTTTCAATTTAAATAGTTTTTTGCATCTCCTATAAAATTTTAAAAATGTTAAATGGGGCCGTTTGCGTTTTAGGTGACGATATTTACTATGTATGCACTTCGACTTGTACTTGAAGACTCGATTAATAAGAATGCAGATAAAGATATTTTGAGTGTTTAAGTCTCTATGGACTTATTAAAGGCCTTTAATTCTGACTTGTCTTATAATGTAGGATCTAATTGATTGATCCCAATTTGTTGGCGATGTTTCATCTAATTCAGTCCCATTCTATATTTTTGTATCTATTTTTTACATACTACCTATATACGAACGACCTTGTTATTGTTATTCAATCTAGGGATCAAAATAGGGTGATTATGTTTGGTCCCATAAACCGTTTCATTTGAAATTTGGGTATTTTCTTGGGTAATTCCTTTCGTTGAGCATCACAAAACTTGGGTGTGGTTTTTAACTTATATTCTCCTTTATGTATCACATTGATTTTGTGTTGGATTTTTTCTTATCTTATCTGTTATTCAAACACATTCGATTCTCTTGCTAAAGATTTTCTACTGTTTTAAAGTTGTATTTGCGACAATTGTGCCTTACTTGATTCGTTAGGTTTGCTTTGAACATTTGACTTAAAGAACATGTTCCCGATTCTGTGAAAAGCATTCAGGTTGTTCTCTAAGTGAATTCTTTAACTTCAGTAAACATTTTTAGCCTAATGAGAAAGTTCCTATCTATTTAAAAATCGAAATACATACATTTTATTTAGGAGGATCCTTTAATTGTTGTTAAAAATGAATCCGATGCTGAAAAATCAATTATTAAAATAGAACCCAGCAACTTTGATGAAACTAAAGACTTTGAATTTGAAAGTTCAACGCAAATCGAAAGCACAAAATATCTAGATCAAGAGGAAGATGACGAAGAATTAATCGAGGAAGAGGAAGCGTCTTTAAACAGTCAAGAAGAAGGTGAATCTCAAGAATCTGAGCCAGAAGAAGATGAAGTATGTAAAAAAAATCTTATTTTGTTTTAATTTAAAATTTATTTTAACATTTTTCCAAGGCCACAACACAAAAACCGACTAATACAAATGGTGTAACATCGTCATTTGTCAGCAATTTTATGAAATCGGAAGAAAATGTTAACGTTTTAATTGCAGCTTTTAAGGATCAACCCCAATTATGGAATAAAACGATGTCGCATTATGGAAATAAATTGAAAAGACGAGAATATATGATTAAAATTGCTCAAGATCTCAATTTAAATCATAAAATAGATATTAATGGAAGTCAAGTTTCTGCCGTTATTGTACATTTGTATCGGAAATATCAAGATGATTTGCACAGAACTCAGGAGAAAGACGATGGCAAAAGACAGATCTATGTAAAGCCTTGGTATCTTGCGCAGTTAGACTTCATCAAACCCTATTTAGAAAAATTTTCTCTAAAAGTTTTAGCTCCGCATCATACTAATTTATTGCCAGACCAAATTCGTCGAATTTTGGAAATCTACAGATGTTTACCACATCTTTGGAATTCAAATCTAATTGAAAACCATTGTAAAAATAAACGTCATGAAAGTATACTTGAAATGCTGAAGCAAATGGAAACAAAACTGAATTTAAATATTAATGAAAACGAATTGGAACAGTATTTACGTACTATACACAATAACTTTTCTAGAGAGAAACGACGAATATTGAATGATAAAAAAGCCGGTAAATCAGATAACGATGAACAACCCGATAATGAATACTACGAGTCATTATTGTTTCTGTATGATCATGTTCCTCCCTTGAGATGTTCTGTGTGTGGGGGTGAATCTATAAGTCCTCTACATTTTAAAATGCACACATCCACACATGATGGTACAATGCCTTTTACTTGTTCGCAATGTAATAAAACATTTAAACGTGTTAATGTTTATACGAGCCATGCGAAACGTCACTTTCTGGATCTCAATTACATATGTAAGGAATGTGGTAAGAAGTTTGTTAATTATACGAATTTAAGATTGCACATGCGTATTCATACTGGCGACAAGCCCTATTGTTGCGAAATGTGTGGCGATTCATTTCGATTTCTTCAGACTTTAAGTAATCATCGTAGGCGACATGAAAAGCGTTATTTGCATACGTGTAAAATATGTTCTCAAGGTTTTTATTCAAAAATGCGACACGATGATCACATGAATTCGCATATGAATATACGACCGCATATATGTGATATATGCAATAAGACTTTCATTACAAAACGAGCCCTGAAACAACATAAAGTTGTTCATGAAGATGTTAGAAATTATGCCTGTAAGTTATGTGGTAAAACGTTTAAACATAAAACTGGTGTAAACCAGCACATGAAGACGCATGATATAGCAACCAATGAAGAAAGAAGCCTTGTTTAAATAAAAAATAATTAAAACGTTTTAAATATCTATGTATATACATACTTGCATGTATTTAACGTTGTTTTTATTAGTTTTAAAATTCTGTAGAAAATAATTTTATGTTTATACCTATTTAGTGGTAGATTTAAGTCAATAAAATTCAAATTTAATTAAAAATAAAAGATTCTACTTGACTTGCAATGTTAGTTTGATTTTGTTTGTACTTACAATGTTAGTATAGGTCAAAAAATGTAACAAAGGCAAAGCTAACATTTTAGTACCTATGAAACCAATATAATCCGAATTGACATCAGACAAAACATTTAAGAAATGGCCAGTGTTACCATTTTGGCATTTTTGCAGCTAGATTTAGCATTTTCGCTATTTTACAAACTAATACTTTTTGTTTGCTCATGGAATGAAACATATTATTTTGGAAAAGGCTATGTATGACGGTTAATTAACAAATTTTATTTTTTCATATACGAAATAAAGAGGTTTTAATTTTTATCATTCTTCAGGAGTTCTTGTTAATTTATTGAAAATAAGTATTGAAAAAAATCAATAATATATAATTAAGACTTTCTTATCCTACTTTCTGTTCTTTTTATTTTTACCAAATTCTTATTAATTTTGTTGTCACGTTTTTTTTAATTAAAAAAAATACATAAAGTTCGAAAATATTATTGACAATTTATTCCAGAATTACAAACTTACGGATTTGAATATATCTCTCAATTCATTTCATACATTCTCATATATATTTTTCCGAAAAAATCTTGGAAGTATGAATTATAAACCTGACATCTATTCACCGAGATTTAAAATTATTACAACGGAATTTTCAATATTTTTGTGACATGAAAACCATTTTTAAAGTGTTTTGAGGAAGACAAATAAAATTGTTTATATAAAAAAGTAAAACTAGAAATATTATACTTTTCCTTCCGAAAACACATATAGGTTTTATACCATGAGCAACTAGTGTAATTAATAGAGTTTTAATGTAATTTTTGCATTTAGAAATATTTTAAAGTTAGAGACATTACATATTGCTAAATTTACAAAAATTTTGAAATAATTTTTAGCATTTCTGTTTATCTTAATACCACGGAACTTGAAATTTTCAAAACAATAAGCACGTATGCTTTTTGGTCCAATGACAAAACCTTTTAAAAATGGTTAAAGTCCGTCCTTTATTTTACCTAGCCCCCATACATATACAAATGTATAAAGCCTTTCTCAGAAAATTAGTTTAAATATATCGGAACCAAGGTTCAGTTCTACATAAATGCTTTATTACGAAAAATAAATCAAATTTTATACTCATATGGTCAACCACGGCAGAATATACTTTCTTACTTGTTATAAATTACAATGAATTTCAGTTACAAATTAATATGAATTGTACATGAAAACACTTAAAATATTTTAGCATTTTTTTTTTTTTTTTTGCATTTTGCATTAGCATTTTTTCTAGCATTATTTTGGATGGGATTTAGCCGCAACATTTTTTGAGACCTGGTCACACTGGAAATGGTATCTTATATACATACAGATATTTAGTTGCAGATTTCAAAAAATTAAAAAAAAATTATTCAAACATCTTGTAGTTGTAGTTTATTAAGTAGTTTAACTAAAATTGGACTTATCAATATCAATTTTATTGAAATTGTAGAAAATGACCCGCCTCTGATAATATTCCAATCTGACAATAATCTAATTGGTTTTATTTTATGTAAAATTTCGTTCAGTGCAGTATAGAGAGTATTAATAATTGTTAACCAATCATCTGGACGCCTTCTTATAAGAAGAAGAAAAATCAAACAATTTCTTATAAAATTTACTGAACATACCTCAAAATTGTATAGTACATATTATTTACATTTATTTGTGGAATTTTTAGATTACATTTTTAATTAATTTTTCTCGCTCGAGAAAAATACTTTCCGGTGTAAAAAATGGGAACACAACTACAAGACATTCAAGATTATACTAACTATATTAAATGTGGTGAAATTTTGAAACCTCCATTACAAAATTTTCAACAATCGATTATCTTTAAATGTTTTGAATGTAAAGAAGTTCATTTTATCCTCGAATCCTTTATTACACATATTCAGAAACATTTTAAAGATATTTTATCATTAGAAGAACATGACAGTAAAACTCTATTTGAAAATGTTCACGATGTTGAAATGGAAAATGATGGAGTTGGCATTAAAAATCTTGCCATAAAATTAGAAGAATTAGTAAGTAGAGTGCACAATAATCAATTTTCAGAAAATCTCTGACTTAAAAGAGAATTAATTATTCCATAAAATAACTAACTACTTATGTTTTCAACAAAAACAATATACTTTAATACTCATGTACATAGGTAAATAAGTTAATTTTCAATTAATAAAAACTATGTACCTACATGTATGTATAAAAATTCATAGTATAAAAATGCGTGGAAAAATCAATGCTCCCACTTTTCCTTACACTACATAACAGTCGATGTAAACATCTTATTTGCAAAAATATTTGCGAACATAAAATACATTTTATTAAAGCAAACATCGATGTTCGTACGATAGGTATTTTATAAAATTGTATCTATTCTTAATAATAGTTGAAGAATCTTTGACAAAATCTTATACATCTTTATCTTTTTCAAAACATCCTTTAAAATTCGAGTATTTTTGACAAGTTTTAGTTTCAAAGAATGTTTCTTTGCAATTTGAAAATGCTAAACAAAAATCCATCAAAATATTTTTCACTAATCCCTTGAGTTGTCTTTATACGTTAAATTAAAAATGTCACAAAATTTAGAACAAATATGTATTATTTATTTCTATGAAAAACACTATTAATTATACCGTACACCATAATATAACAATAATTACAATAATTCAAGGCATAACAATTACGACTCTCCCTAGTGATTATATCTAATAGGACGGTATAATGAGCTTGTGCTAATGTTTGTAACACCCAAAAATATTCCTCATACACACATACTTTCTGAGTTGATTAAGCCATGTCCGTCAGTCTATGTGCCTATATATACCTTGCCCACTCTACAGGTCGGATTGGCCTAGGTGTATTTCTTCGGATTTAATGTAGTATACATCCTCTTATCAACCTACCTACCTACCCATAAACTTTTGTATCAGGATAAAAAAATCCCTTCTTTCAGAAAAATCCTTTTTTGTCAACATATTGTTAAAATATTTCGTAATTAAGATAATTAAAATATTTCGTAATTAACAACATATTATAAAAAATAACCCTCATTTTTGACATACTCAATGGTGTAAGGTTTCATATGGTCTGTGGTGTCCGTCTATACGCTCTTACCTCTTTTATTTTTACAAAATGAATATTTTTTAAACTGTTAAAAGTAAATTCTTTCCTCTTACTTATAGGAAGATCCATTAATCCCTGTCAAATGTGAACTTGGTGAAGAAAAGTCTACCAATATCAGTACTAAAAATTATGAAGATGAATTTGAGGATGTATTAGATAGCCCAGATGAATTTCAACCCGATGATGATGATTCCGATTCTGATGAAAATCATGTAAAGTGAATGGCATATAAAAAATGATTAAATAATTATTAAAAACTACCAAAATTATATTTTTAGCGAAAAAAAGAAAAGGTCAATAAAAGGAAGAAAACTTATCCAGATGAAACGGAATCCGATGTCTCTGAAACAGATGAAGAGGAGGTAAAGTTAATTAAAAATTATTAATTTATATGTATATTAAATAACTATATTTTAAGGTAATAAAAAAGCCGGCAAATAAAAGAAAGAAAAAATCTGCGGAAACGATCAATAAAAGAAGGAAAAATTGTCCAGATGAAACTGAAACTGATGACTCTGAAACAGATGAAGAGGAGGTAAAAAATAAATAAATTATTAATTAATTTAAATTTAAAATACCAATATCGTCAGATAATAAAAAAACCGGCAAATAGGAGAAAGAAAAAATCTTTAGATGAAACAAAATCTGATGACTCAGATACGGATGCAGATGAGGTAAAGTATAATGAATTCTACGTCATTATTGCTGTGATATCAATATGTATTTTAGATAAAAGAGGATACATCACCAACTAAAAGCAAAATAAAATCACCAATCGTTGAGGAATTCATAAAATCAAAACCAAATGTTTTAACACTAATTGATCTTTACAAAAATCAGCCAAATTTATGGGACAGATACTCTCCATTTTATCGCTTGAAAGACAAAAGGAAACAATTTTTGGAGGATATCACACAGGAACTTAATGCAAAATGTTCTTTAGAACTTTCCTCAAATGAAACTGGAGAAATATTGGCATTTATTTGTGCAAAGCATAAAGATGATTTAAAGAAAATGCGCTATCAAAATAGAAGGAAAAAGGGAAAGAAGGGCAGTAAAACCCCAAGGAAATACGAAAGTAAATCGGAAAAGAAAACTACATATTATTGGTTTTTTGATCACTTGCATTTTCTCAGATCAAAAGTTGTATTTCGTATGGAGCATCTAGATTCCGATCTACCTGATTTAACATCGGAGCAAATTATAAAAATATTAGAAATATATAAAAGCTTTCCTCATCTTTGGAATACGTATCTTATTGAACACATATGCTTAAATAAACGAAATGATGCTCTAGACGAAATGTTAAAATCGTTAGAAGCCAATATGAATCTCAAGATTAGTACAAATGTACTAGAACAATATATACATACCATACATGAATATTGTGCAAGAGAAAAAAGGAAAAAATTAGGAATATCTACACCAGATGATTTGCAAAATTCTTCGAATAATTCACCCAACTACTATGAGCATATGTCATTCTTGGAAGATCACGAGGGTCCTCTTAGTTGCCCTGAATGCAATCATATTTACAACAAACCATTATGTTTTAGAATTCATAAAGCCCAACATGACGGTTCACCAGCTCTTAAATGCTCACAATGTGATCAGGAATGTAAAACCGTTGCTTCTTACACAACACATGCCAAACGTCATTTAGACGACCTTCAATTTGCTTGCAAAGAATGCGGTACGAAATTTCTTCGACATACCGATCTCCAAAAACATATGCTAACTCACACCGATGCCAGGCCATATTGTTGTGAAATTTGCGGGGCATCCTATCGCCATTCTACTAGTTTTAGAAAACACCAAAGACAACATGAAAAACG